TGTGCTGTGTTTCAGGTTCTGTCCTCTGAAAGCGCAGTCCCTGCAGAGAGCTGAATCTGCGCTTCATTTCAAGAGCGCTGACACACAGGCATTTCTTGGGCCTATCAGAAATCAAAGGCCTGCAAGCTTTTGTGTGCTGTTTGGCAGAAAAAGCAGAGGCGTTTCATGCACTTAATGGTCACACCCCTGTGGTGCCGTCTTGCCCTGCTGTCCCAGACCGAACGGTCCTGTCGGATGGGTGCAGGAAGAGACTCAAAGTGTTTGACTTTGGGTAGAGAAAGTTAAAAGTGAGGGAAATAGCATGAGAAAGAAATGATGGTCCACGTGTTGGAGGAATTGGAGAAAGGGAGGGAAGCCCAGCAGGAACGGGTCACTGCAGGCCAGGGGTGGAACTAGAGGAAAAGAGGGGAGGGGGTTAGATGGAGCCCAGCAGTAAAGAACAGTGTGTTCTGTTCATTCCAGGGCAAGAACTGTTTGTGCTGTTATCCATCACACAGTGAAGGGAAAGCAATAAGCAAAGAACCGCGTTATTTCAGAGCACAAAATAAGACCTAGTGCTTCAGGAGAGTGTGTGTGTCCTTTGCTGACAGTATGAGCACACCTTGGCTTGTGGTTACGCTTGCCACGTGTGTTGGGATGATTACTTTGGTGTGCGGGTATTAGGGCTGCACGACATAATGAAATTATCGAAATATCGCAAATGTAAATATTGCGATATGCAAATCGCAATGGCATGCGATATCTGAATCGTTTTAATAATAGGCTACTTAAATCAAAGCGTTGCAAAAGGTCAAAGTTTTAGGTCGATGCATATAGCAGAGAATTGCTTGACGTTAAAAAGAGTTATCAAGTGCAATAAGTTGCAGAAAACAACTCTTTGCCGTCTCGCCTTGCTGTCTGACACACACCTGAAGCACGCACACAAGCCGCATCTCGGAAAGGCATGTGATCACTTCAGTTTTCTGTGTGCACTGCCGCCGCACACGTGCAAAGCGCGCGCACACAGAGATGCGTTTCCGACAGCACGCGAACACCGAGTTGATTCATCTTTCGCATCTCCTTATGTTTGAACAGACACATACACACAGAATTATGTCAATAGTACCCGTCTCAACAATCATTCTCGTACACAAAGTCAGTTATGTTTTAAATGAATGTAAACAGCTAAGAAAGAAATCGGATGTGTATCATTATACTGGATCCATTATACTGGATCCGGTCTTAAAGGGACAGCAGCCTATAAATACCTTCTGCTGAATATGTCACTAATGTTAATCAAACAACAAAACACAGCTTTAACAAAGATTAATCTAAATTTAATTCATAAGGTGAACACTATGCAGTGTTATTTTACACTTAATTATTAAAATTCTGTACCTGAATACTACTGTTTATTTTATCTATGTTTGTAATTTGTGTATTTGTTCTTTTTTTATTGACTGTTCGCTTGCTTTTAATCATGTTTGAACTTTCTTAGGCTATAGTTTTTGCTGTAGTATATGAAGAAGTACTTAAAGTGTACTTTAAGTAAAAGCAAAGCAAAGTTACATTGATAAAATAAGTGGCATTAATTCTTTTTTTGTTTGTTTGTTCACATTGATGTTAAAATGACATTTTCTGATTTGTGACATTACTTTTTATGTAATGCTAAAACACTGCTGGTCACTTTTAGAAGTTGTAGTGATACTTTCTTTTCCAAGAAAGAAAATGAAACATATATTGGTCTTATAATTTTCATTTTTAAATATTTTAAAATAGCTTATAATTTTAATTGATTTTACACACTTAAGTCAATATTGTATCGCATATCGAATATCGCATTATTTAACAAGGTATCGCATATCGCATTTTTCTTCAATATCGCACAGCCCTAGCGGGTATGTTTTGAAAGACCTCATGTTTGAAAATGAATTTTTGTGACTTAATTCCTGTTTCTCTACTCGGGAAGTGGATTAAAAATTTTGGTGGCTCATCTTGCACTCAGGGGCGTGTATAAATTGTCGTCCAATCAGATGCTCTCTAGAATGAGAATGTTACATTGTAACAAACAGCAAGTTGAATGGCTGTGACTTAAAACTTTGTTGCAATAGGAAATATGTCAACACAGGAAAGCAAACGGTGTTCAAGCCACATCATGGGGTCTTTAACTGTGTGTGTGTGTGTGTGTGTGTGTGTGTGTGTGTGTGTGTGTTCCTCACAAGCGCTGTATCGTGTTTCCAGAGTGGATGGATTACAATTGTCCACTGTTTGAATAGATGCTCCTTAACTGAAGGATTGTTCCAATATGAGAGATTAATGATAACAGGGGTGGGATGAGATGCACTGGGCTAATTAAATGCCATTAATGCTCGTCACTCGGCGGGTAATTAATCTGGAGAGCTATAAGGTAATGTGCTTCATAGATACAGGCTCCAGAAATCAAAAGTAGTAAACAGGCATTTTGGCTTGATACAGAAAGCTGGTAATCATTAGTGGCCTTCTAGAGATATGAGGTTGAGCTATTTTGCCCTGGACCAGTAAGAAATCAACCCAGAGTGTCCTAGCATCTGCTGTCCTAGAACTGTGAGAGTGAATTTTGCCAGGGCAAACACCATTCAATTTTTCTTATAGGCCTATTAGACAATTGTTAAGATAAATAAATATATATATATTTTTTTTTAAAGTAATAGATTAATATGATGATGTATTTATTTTATATTAATTGCATTCAGAAAAACATTTTTTCAGCATGTTATTAAGATTAAAATGTAATTCCGCATGAATAGTTTCTAAATTTATTTTCGTTCCCATGCTTTGGACAATTTGGGTACTTTTAGGTACTTTTTCCACTCGCTGCAGCTCATGCTGTGGCCTTTTTATGGAAATATTTTTATTTATTTTATTTTTTACAGATTATATTTAATTATATTTATTTATTTTTTATATTAAAAAAATATATCATTTATTGTTTTCAATATATTATTTTATTATTTATTATATTATTTAATTTTTTATTAATTTATGTATATATTTATTTTTTATAATTTATTAAATTAATACATTTCTAAATGATTATATATTATTTTGTTATTTTACATTTAAATGTTAAATTTCTGTACTTGAACACCTACAAATCTAAAAATCTAAAGCATCTTTAATTTGTATCATTGTTCTATTTATTAATTTGTGGTATTGCTTGTAATTTGTTCATTTGTTCTTATTTACTGACTGTTCACTTGTCTTTAATAATGTTTGAACTTTATATTTGTTAGGCTAGTTTTTGCTGTGCTATTGAAATTGGAATGGAGAATTGCAAAATTTAACTGGTATCTAAAATGTTTATGTCATGTAAGCTTATTTATTAGAATACAAGATAACATGGGTCAAAAACAATGATAATAAAATTGGATATTAAATATCTTTTGAGCTTTTTTGGCCTATTTTTCGTGTGCGGATCTGTTGTTTGATTTTGGATTCATCATTTGTATCTACGCACTGCAAAAGCTTTTCTTTGATCTAGATTAGTGTCTGGCACGACGCTGTTTGGCTTTTTTCCTTTAAAAACAATGATAACAAAAAAATTTTTTTCTGTGGCAGGGCCAGTGAATATAATTGGCAGGGCAAGTAAAACATTGAACCACAAGATTTTAGATCTTTTTTTTTTCTTATCTTGAGAAATATACAACCGATTACTCCATATACTCTGGATATTTTAAGGTGAATTTTGTTGGTAGTGGTGGATGTTTTTTTTTTTTTTTTGGTCTTGATCACCTATATATTATGCATTCCTAGTTTTACAAACATGCACAAACCATAAATAGACAAATCCTTCAGTATAGCATTGCAAAGAGGCTGAAATCAGACACGGGTTTAATAAACGCCTCTTTACATGGACAGAGTTGGTGTAATTGTTAATGAAAACGGCTATGCGAGCATGTAAATATTGCTAAGCCTGCTTCAGTCAAGTGGTTATCAAAACACGACAATGGAGGATCTCATTTTGTCGCTGCCGCCTACCTCCCTTTCTCATCCTCCGCTCGATCCTCTCATTATCCCTGTAGGTGAACCTCTCTCTGATCAACTCCGTCACTCCTCTGAGTGACTCTTCCTGCAGCCCCCCTCGTCGCAGCGGCATTCATCCACCTTTCTTTTCAAGCTGTGGGGTGTCTGACCTAAATCTGTAAGGAAGGAGAAGAAAATGGAAGCGTAGAGGGATGTTGAGGGGGTGGAGAGAGAGTTAGGGGGACTGACAGCCACTGATGTTGGTGGCAAATTAGCATGTGTGCTAATCAAGCTTCACCCCCAAGAGTGGAGACAGACGGAGAGGCAGTGGGGTGGGGCGGTGGGTCTTGTTGTCGTTATTAACGTTGTACAATCTAAACGCACACACAAAGAAGCACCCTCTTTGGTCGGAACAAACTGCTTGATGGCTTAAATAATTGAGCGGGGTTGAAGGCGTTATCTTCGCAGAGGGCTCGGATATCTCAAAGCGGTGGCCATGAGAACCTCCGTGTTTCCACATCTCTCTTTTCTTTTTGAAATCAAATCATGCTATAAATAGCCCTCTCCCTCACTCCCTCCCTCCTTCCCCGGTTTCTCCTGTCTCCACAGAGAGTGCGAGGATCCTGCAGTAACACGTAGCGCCCGGGTCATCCACGGTTGCGGCCCGTCGCTCTGTTTTAAAGCTCAAGCTTTGCACCGGCTTTTGTCTCGGGCGCTGCAGTCTCGAGATTCTCTGGACTGCGGTGCAGCAGCCCAAGAGATGCCACATGCTGTCAAATCTCGCTCCTTTGTGTGCGGTGCTGGCTGCTTTTTAAACTGTGATTGGTGGAAAGGTTCCAACTCGAGGAAACGATTGCAAAACCCACTCTATCAAAGCGTGGAGAAAGATGTGCTGGCGCAGTCAGTTGTTGATTAACCCCTCGTGCCTCTAGGCAAAACTGCAGCCATCTGAGAGCCCTCCAAATGAAATTGGTTAAAGCCAATACAGCGGCGTTATGTGTCTGCCTCAGTGAGTCAAAGCAGAGCAGAGCCTTTGTTTTGATTGAGTGCTGTCAGTCTAACGTGTCTTTCTTTCTTTCTTTTTCTTTCGCAGACTGCCTGCTAGGTTGAGGAGATTCGGGGTGTCCCATAGACCCCTAGGTTCCTCCGATGAACCCCATCAACTCCATGAAACCTGCCCTGCCTCCAACGCCACACAGGTCAGTAGCTCCTGTGCGTCAGCTCGGTGCAGCTGCAAGTCAAAATGTGACTCGTGCCCACTGTTTCCTCTCTAACGACATTCTGAACTCTCAAACCCCCCTCACACTGACACCTGCTTCCCTCAGAGCTGCACTCAACAGTCTGAAACCTAGCGCTGATGTTTTGATTGTTGATTTTGCACATTTTAACTACTATTTGGTAATAGCTTCAGGGAAGCAATGTGTTTTTATTGTTTTGCAGCCTTATCTGGATGAGATTAGCCTTGGCGTGCAGTTTAATTGTTGTTTTTTTTTCCTTTTGTGAGTTGTTGTTTGAGCCTTCTTTATCTGTTTAAGGGTCCTAAAGAGTGCTTTATGGTTATTTGGAGAGGAAAACAAGTTATTGATGGTACACTGTAGGTTCTTTAAGTTAAGTACCAGTATATGGATGGTTTTCTAAAGAACCCAAGATTCAAAAGTTCTTTGGAACTTTAATTTAGTTCTGTTTGGAAAATTTATTTTTGAAGGGACACTTAAAATTGACAAATGTCATTTACTCATGTCATTTCAAACATGTGACTGACTATCTTCTGTGGAACAAAAAAGGAAGTTAAGGAAAATGTCAAAGATGATGTTATCCATGAAATGAAAGCGAAGAGCAGCATTAGTAGCACGCAAATAGCTTGTGTGTGTGCATATATATATATGTATATGTGTATAGTTAATAGTTTAAAATATATATATGTTTAGTCAATTTGTTTAAATGCACATTTATTAAAATTATATATTACATAATATTATATTAATATATGTAATATATTACACATATTACATAATATATGAATATATATGATTATCTATTGCATAATTATTATAAAATATATATGCATGAATTTATTTCATATATATAATTTGTATTACACATATTATAATATATGTAGCAATGTTTGAGCAAACTGACCCTTTAAGAGTGGTTAATTCTCCAACCCAGCAAAGAGAAATATAGAACCCAACTGCTTCATGTGCTATTGGTACTTTCAGGTAGAGCTTTCATACTAATTTGGTGCTTTAAATATTTAGTAAATGATGTACTGCAGGCTCCCGTATGTAGGTGTACTTGGCACATTTTCATGAGTTTTACTGATATTTGAGAGGGAATTATGTTGCTTCAGAGGCGATAATGAAACAAACAGTCTGAACATGAAGAAAAAGTGGAAGTTGGCGTTTCGCTCTCACCGCAGTTCACTGAAGATAAATCGCTTGCAGTGGCGCATGCATTGGGCCCCCAAAATGAATCCATGTGCCCACACCTTCTCCTCTCATTTACTGAGCTTTCAATCTGCACGAGTGTTGGTTTTTTTTTTTATTTTGATTGGTTGCTTTGTCTCTCAGCTGCTGATTGGCTGCTGCAGGATTTGGCTTTGAAACCACAGTTTCCTGTTTCAGAGAGCAGGGGTATCTGGTGGTTTTCCTGCAGAAGAACTTTAAGAGAAACCTCTGCCTCCTATGGAATGCCTCTAAGCCGCCAATAGTTCAGTTTGTTTATTTGCCCCGGCAATGCAATGACCAGCCTCAATGAGAGTCTCGCTTTGAGCCTTTGTTGGAACCTCAATATCCTGTGGGCTGCAGGCCAGCAGATACTTTGCTGCAGGTCGAGGTGGAAATGTGTCAAGAAGGGGATCTCGGCTTTCTTCAAGGGCTTTAAAGAGAAGAGTCTTCCATGTGGCAGTGGGGTTGAGGTGTCTTGGGTCAGTTCGGGTGAGAAGCTGTTCAGAGCCAGTTATCACTCGATAAACCCTCGCGGGTTTCATATTCTTGATACTTTCGAGCTGTTGCCGCTTGGATAAGTTTTACCTGGAATGCTCCCATTTGGTGTCCAAGGCTTTTGGCACTCCTGCCAATAAGTAGTGACTCGAGATAATTTACTGGCCATTAAACTGTATTTTAAGTTTTTGTCCATTAAAACATCACAGTATTGCAATTGAATCACTGTTGAACTGTGACAAAAACAAGACAATGTAGAGCTCATTTAGTGAACTCACCTTTTTGTTAATTAGACTATAGGAAGTGTTATTAATGTGCTCAGTACTACTCAGTACTGATGCATTTTTTCCCCTTTATCTACAGTTTGGAGTCTATAAGATTTTTTAAATGATTTTGAAAGTCTCTTTTGCCCATGAAGGCTGCATTTATTTGATCAAAAACACAGTAAACATGGTATTGTTGTGAAATATTTAACTATTTACTATTCTATTATTTTACTATTTTTTTATATTGTAATATATTTAAAATTGTAATTTATTCCTGTGATCAAAGCTGAATTTTCAGCACCATTACTTCAGTGTCACATGATCTTTCAGAAATCATTCTAATAATGCGCTGATTTGCTGCTCAAGGAACAATACGATTATCAATGTTTTTAGTAGAAACTGTGACAAATTTTTTAAGGATTCTTTGATGAATAGACCGTTTAAAAGACCAGCATTTTATAAAAAAAATAGATCTTTAAAAAAATTATGAAATTGTCATGAAAATGTCTTAACTGTCACTTTTGATCAATTTAATGTATCCTTGTTGAATTAAAAGTATAAATTTCTTTCAAAAACAAAAACTGACCCCAAAACTTTTGAACGGTAGTATCTGTTTTGCTTCGGTTTAGGATTTACGACGTCAATAAAAAAGATGCATTTGGCTTCTTGGCTGAACTTCTGATGATAAATTATTTAAGTTGTTTTGAAGATGCATGACAGTCACTCAAGTTTTTTTCCCACCATTTGTATTTTTCCTAAAATATGTTTCACTCATGTCACTTGCACCAGCGAGTGTTAAGAATGTCATTTGAACGTTATGGTTTGACCATGCATTGTCACAGGTCGTAAAACAAGTTACCTGCTAACTCAGCGTTATCTAATATTGTTGTTTTGGGCTCTGTTCCCATCCTTTTTGTTTTAAGTTGGCTTATTGGGCACAGTCCTATCCATTAAGACCCTAAAATGCAGATTTAGGTGCAAGTTTTGATGGGTTACCTGATAGTCTTCCTAATGTTGTTCTGCTGGAGCCGTACATGTGCACCTTTAGCCCTTTTATGGAGGGTAAACTAACCACCATAAATGACATGAATCCGAGACCTTAGTAATCCATTCAATAGATTGCAAAGCTTTAATTCAGGTCTAAAACTTTTACATGCTTTCAAGAGGAATGATGTGCATAACAGTACAACTGATTGAACATTCATCCCTCACAGCCTCGTTGTTATTCAAGTCAAATTAAATATGGCATTGACTCTAACTAAGGTCCATGTTTCCCTGTTCTGATCAGCGTGTGGTGTAGTTTGGCTAATTATGGAAAGATGGCGAGCGATTATTGAGAGCGATCTGGTTTGATCCAGTTACACAGAAAACAGTAGACACTCACACATACACACACACACACACACACACTTACTCTCTCACCCCCCTTTCCCTTGGCATCGTTACTCTTTCCTGTCTCTAAGTGACTGTGGAGTCGCCATGGAAACATTGTGCTGAGTACCTCCAGAGCATGTGGCTGTGGCACGTCTGAAGTCACAGAATGATCCTCTCTCTCTCTCTCTCTCTCTCTCTCTCTCTCTCACACTCTCTCACACTCTCTCACACTCACACTTCACACCATATGCTGATATCATACCAGGACAAAAGGCATAGATGGAATATAATATGGATCTGGCTGTGGATAATGCGAGGCGGATCAGTGAGAAGTGAATTAAGAGCGTTTTATACAGGAAGCACTCAGATGCACTAATAACCCCGGTGTCCGTGTGTTTCTCTCGCCCCGCAGTGACGCCTCTTACCCATATGATCCTGTCCCCTGGCAACAAGGCCCCAATCAGCCTGCCGGCTCCCTCTCTGTGGTGACCACAGTGTGGGGGGTAACCAATCCTTCACCCAGCCAGGTAAGAAGGTCCCTCTGCCGTGATGATGTCACCAGCTTGTTTACCTCAAAGAAAGCACAGCATGTTCCAAGAATGTCCTACTTATGTCTGTTTCTCAAACAAAACATTCTTCTTGTTGTCAGTGAATCAGCAGATCCCATTAACAAACCATTTAGAATCATTCAGAGCAGTTCTTGTTTTATTGAGAAATACTTAAATATAGTAATTAATACATATTAATTACTTAAAAATATATAAACTTAATTATAAAAATTATTTATCAATACATTAATTATTAATTGATTATAATTAAATTATTAATTATTATAATAATTTGTGGTCACTTCCGACTCGAACGGATACCCGTGAAAATTTATCATTTCCAAACCCCCACATACATGCGTACATATATTTAACTGTATCAGTGTGTTTTTTTGTGTGTGTATATTTATATATATATATATATATATATATATATACATACACACACACACACACATAACAGCAAACAAAAAAAATGTAAATTACGTTCATGACTAATCTAAAAACTCTTGTTGTCGGCAGGTTTTTGGCGCTCCCATGGGTCCAGGCGGAAACTCAGCCGGTGGTCACATGATGCCTGGCAACAGCCCGGGCATGAACTCCCCTCAGTTTATGAGCCAGCAGGGCTACCCCGAGCCCAACAAGGGCTTCATGCAGCAGGGCATGTACGGGCGGCCCAGCGGGGGATACCCGGCCGGGCCTGGATATGGGGGCAGGTGAGGAAAGCAAATATTGTCCAGTGTCTTGTGTGGCTATATTTAGACTTTGCTCCTCGTGGGAGTTGCGTGATGTCAGGCAGCCGGACGGACGTCACTGCAGTGGGGGATGTGTGTTCTGTAACGTTCCACCCCTGCGCTGACTCACAGAAACACACACACACACTCATGTCCCTTAAGATCAATTTGCATCGCAATAAATCTTGTGAATCACTGACTCGGAGCAGTTAGCGTCCCCCTTGGCTCGTCAGACCAGCACCTTGCTGCCACGACAACGTGAATAATCAGCGCCACTTACGCCACCTTCTACAAATATGCCGGGTCACTTTATTCAGCAGCGTCTTAATCTTATTTTATGACACAAATGCAATACAGTTCATAACATGTTTGTCTTCTGTCTGTCCTCTTTAGTTACCCAAATAACGGAGGGGGTTCCCTCGGGATGCCGCCCCATGGAGTCCGCCCGCCCACTGACTTCACCCAAGCGGCTGCCGCAGCTGCTGTGGCCGCTGCCGCAGCCACAGCGACGGCCACCGCCACAGCAACTGTCGCCGCGATACAGGAGAAGCAAAACCAGGAGCTGAACTACGGGCCTGTAAGTGACTTGACTTGTTTGTGTTCACGTTATGTACGGTTGACCTTTGTTGCGGTGAACAGTACTGAAGGGAAGGTCACTGGAATAGGTCTCACAATGTTTAAATGTTTTAGTAATGAATCTTGTCCCCTTGTTTAATATCTGTTTTTTCATGCCGTTAATCTGATTGGTGCAAACTCTGCTTCATTTTTTTTTTTTGTGGTAAATGCTTTGCAGTCCACTTCAGCAATTATTATCGTGTGACACACAGTAACCTCTGGTTTCATTGCGTTTAATTCGCCCCCTGCTGGACTAATGTATATAGACGAGCATTGACTCCAAAAACATGGCTTTAATTATTGCAAAAAAAAAAAAAAAAGAAGTATTTTCCCCTCATTTTTCCAGAAGATTTCACATGCCGCCTGTCTGTCCGGGTTTAGACGGCAGACATCATGGCCACACAGGACTTTGATTGTTTACAGTCGTGACCTAGTTGCCGTTTCCCTTTCATGCTCAGGGCCTGACGGCCATAAGTCACGGCAGCAGGCACGTCTCCAGCCATTGTTACCCGATGCTGGTTCTGATGGGTGTGGATCTTTGTGTTGTTTTGCTCTGCAGATGGGTGGTGCTTCCTCTTACAACACCCAGTTCCTGTCGCACTCTGGACCCCGTGGCCCACCCGGCATGGCCCCCTCCGGAATGGTCGGCTCCAGACCTCCTTCCATGGGACCCATGTACCCACAGCAGGGCCAGAGGTTGCCCCAGCATCCCGTCTATCCGGGAGGCCAGCAGGGTCCTCCGCGCCACCAGCAGGGCCTGAAACGCCCCTATAACTCTGACGTGAGTGGAGACTCATGTTCACCAACTTGAGCATTCAGATGTCAGAGTAGACACAGTTTAGAAAATATATATGACATCGACATAAAGGCCATGAGTAGGCCTGTCACGATAACAACTTTTTGTTGTGCGATATATTGCCCCATAAATAATTGCGATAAGCGATATTATTGTCGTTTTAAAGACCATTTTATGCCACTGAATATATAATCAAAATGTAACAGCATAATAATGCGAGAAGGCCTACACACTTCCAAATGACAACAAACTTTTAATTTTTAAGAATATTTAGATCATGGAAATTAAGTATCAAAATATTGGATACCTTAAAAAACTTGAATAAATAGTAAATAAACATTTTCTAACAAAAAATGCAAAGTAACAAGTACAAAAACAAGAAAACTGCACAAAGAACTTGTATGGAGATTTTTCCATCTACAGATTTTTTCCTGACCTTCTTTTCTCTGTAAATTAAGGGTGCACACTATTGCTGAAAAACACAATCACTACTTAGCAGTCAGATGTCCGTATGCACAAAGGCACAGATCCCTAAACAAGGCCATATCTGCAGATGAAACTTTTTTTTGTAGAAGCATTTTTTTAATTTGAACTAGCACCTCATGACTACACCACGTTATGTACGAGAAGCTGCAAAGACACTGGCGCAAGTGGAATGTACAAAACATGGTGACATTATTTTTAAGCAAATATAATGTCCGATATATTGCGTCACCAAAAATGATTGAGGTCATGTACATACATATATTGCGCGATAAGTCGATATATTGATTATTGCGACAGGCCTAGCCATGAGGTTCTAAGATATAAATGTATCATTCACAGATAATGCCATAATGCATTATGATGAGCTTAGGAAAAGTCATCTGTGATGTTGCATGTCATTTATTCCATACCATAAAGTTCTGGTTAAAAATACCTCATTATGATTAAATTACTTTTATTGTATAATATAGTTTAATATTATATAATAAACTGCTGATGAAGAAAATTACATGACAGGAACAGAAAACAGAAGAGTGAAATATACTATGGGGTTTTCACATCACGTCATTAGGTTAGCATCATAACTAAAGCTATATTCTACCAAAACTAATTGTGCGTCAGGACTTTCAAGGGTTTTGGCAGGGGTTTGTGAGTTGCTTCATTAGTAGTGTGTTCTAAATCGGTCACTTATGAAGTTGTATTTCAGTTAGGATGCTGCCTAGTTCACTAGATTTTGGATTTTGGTTATGGTATTTATTAATATTTTGGATTGGCTTTTATTTTTATATTTTTGGTTTGCATTTTAATTTTAGTTTAGGTTTCAATATATTTATGTGCGTTGTCAATGTGACTTTTGCTTTTTCAGTTTTAGTACTTCAACTTAAACATATTTCATTTCAGTTAGTTGCCAAAGCAGCATTTTACATTTTTGTTCAAGTTTTTCATCTTATTTTATTTTAATTAACAAAAAATATGTCTAATAGTTTTAGTTTTAGTTAAGAATAACACTGCATTAGTGTGGTTCCTCATTATGGTGGCAGACATGTTGAGATCACGTAACTAGTTGAGTATATTTAGATTTTGGAACAGCTAAAAAAAAGAATAAAATGGATTTTTGTTACGGTTACAAACTAGAAGTTGACTCCTCAAAACAACTGTCGTTAACATAAAAATGATTTAGACAAAAAAATATGAGCATAGTGCTGACAATTTGGTTCTGTTCTGGAATGACTGTTGCTCTTTTCTTGCAGGGATTTCCGGGTCAGCAGTACGGTCCCGGGATGGGAGGCGGGGGCCCGTACCCAGGACAGCCCATGCAGTACCACGGCCCAGGGCCACAGCGGTCCGCTCCTTCCCCGTCTTACCCAACCCACCGAATGCCCCTCCAGCAACCCAATATGGGCCAGTATCCTGCAGGACCAGGAAACCCCAACCAGTACTACAAGGTACAAAGATCATCGCTATTATTGCTCATACTTACATTTAGGATTTGGAAAAATCCCTGAGTATTAAACTTTGGCATGCTGCGGATGTGTGACACCTCAAATCAAGCTGCTTGTAAAGACTTGAGCCATCCTAGTAACCAAATTTAGGTACTTTCTAAAACTTGCAGTCATATTTTATTTATAGTCATATTTTTCAGTTTGAAAGCTGTCAGAAAGCTTTCACTTGCAAATTGCGACACACTGCAAGCAGCATCACATTTCCCAAAGAACAGGTTCCTTTTCTCCGTATTAGTGAGAAACAAGCTGCTGTTTTTAGAGAAACACACCAGCATTTGATACTGACAAATACAGCAGTGAACTTTAAAGAGGCAACTAGTCGTGAAAAGATTTTTTGGAAGTACCAGTGAAACACGTACCAACCTGGGTTCCTTAATTTCCGTGCTGGGTTTGGAATTACAGTGGTAGATTATAACTATTGTCATATCACTGTAGTGTGCACTAAACGAGTGCATGCTTAGGCTCTGTTCCAAAACCTAGTGAACTGCCTACATAGTCAGGTCCAATTTTTAAATGTATGATGTTAGATACCTTCTTTTTGCTAATTTCTAAAGTATGTATCTCTGTGGAGGAATCAATCCCAGAATGCACTGCGCCGAGCTCCCTATGATTATGCTTAACCAAGGTTGACTTGCTCTGTTTTAAGCCTGATTTTGAAAGATTTGTGTTTGTTTAGCAAGCGGACCAGTTTAACGGACAGGGCAACAGCCACAACAGTCTGTCCTCAGGAGTGACGGGAGCCGGGTACAACACCTTCAACCAGGCTGCCGTCAATGGGGTTGGTGTCCTCTCTCGCATGCATGTGTGTTTGGTGAAACGTGAGTCGGTTGGAGCTGCCTGTTAATATTTCACCATTTCGTGTGAGTGCCTCGATCTGACTTGACCGGGGTCCAAACTCCACTCAGCTGAATGTGTTTTTGCACAGTATCGATTATGAAAATCTGACTGTAAAGATAATCTGGCCACAGATTATAATGCCTGCACACACGTCTTGTCTTTCACAGCCCGGACGTGCGATGCCAGGATACCCCAGCTCTCCTCTCCCAGGAAACCCCACTCCTCCCATGACCCCTGGCAGTTCGATGCCCCCATATATGTCCCCCGGCCAAGATGTCAAGTCGCCCTTCCTCCATGACGTCAAGCCCAACATTAACTCTCTGCAACTCCCTACAGGTAACACTCGGCACTGCAGCCAAGACAACACCCCCTCTTATCTCTGGAATGTGTTTATAATTCTCTTTGATATAAATGGAAATAAAAATGTTTTGCTGTCACATAAAATGCTTATCACATAGAAAAAAGTTTTTTTCCTCTTTAACCCCTGAAGAAATTAACAAAATTTCTGACAGATATTTTAAATTGACATGAAATCAAATTCAACCATTTTACTGGCTTTATTGTGAATGGTTTATCTGCATACGTTGTTCCAGAGAAAACAAAATGTTTGTCTTCAGAATATTTTATCAAAATATAGTAATTTGCTCAACAATTTTAACCAGATCATATAAAGACCACTAATCCAATAGATTCCTGATGGATTCAAAGTTGCGTGTACTTGTTTTTATCAAATGCTCTGTTTTACTGAGAAATTGGTTAAAAAATTGGTTAAAATAATGCTCACTCACATAAGATGAAAACTTCATATGAAGTCATATAAAGCTGCTTTTTTCACATAAAGGTACTGTTTTATTAGTATTATTTACATAACACTATAGTATTTATCAATATTTTAATTAGCTTTTATTTTTATATATATATATTTTTTCATTTTAGTTTAAGTAATCTTGATAAGCACTTCTGTCATTTCTATTTAGCTTTAATTTCTTTTCATTTCAGTTTTATTTTTAGTCATTTTAGTACTACTTCATTTTAGTTTAGTCAACTTAAACTCAAAAATTAGACATGTTGCCTTGGCGTCAAAAAGTTTTTCAGCTAATATTTGTATTTTATTTTATTTCAGCTTTCACTTTCAGTTTTAGGTAATAATAACAACACTGCATAGTTACAAGCTAAACTGAAACTTGAAACTGAAACCGGAACACACCGATAAGTGTCAACAAAAAATCTAGTATGGCTGCTAAAACAACTTTGTGCATATTTGATATTTATAAGATGCCTTTGTTTCTTGCCATATGAGATATGAATGAAAGCCGTGTGGCACCTCAGTAACTGAAACTCTGCTCTACTGTCTGCAGGAAACCCCAGTGATGACCTGCGTCTGACCTTCCCTGTACGGGACGGGGTGGTGTTGGAGCCTTTTAGATTGGAGCACAACCTGGCTGTCAGCAACCACGTCTTCCAGCTGCGAGACTCCGTGTATAAGACCCTTATGATTAGGTAGGACATTTTCATCCCTTCCAGCATCTCAGGGACTATTTGTGTTTGTGAATGTGCCAGTGTTGTCATGTTTAACATGTAATCTTATCTATCATGGGTTTTACAGGCCTGACCTGGAGCTGCAGTTTAAGTGCTATCACCACGAAGACCGGCAGATGAACACCAACTGGCCGGCGTCGGTACAGGTGAGCGTCAACGCCACGCCTCTCACCATCGAGCGTGGGGACAACAAGACTTCCCACAAACCCCTTTACCTGAAGCAAGTGTGCCAGCCGGGACGCAACACCATCCAAATAACGGTCACGGCCTGCTGCTGTGTAAGTACAGAGACTCGCATCGCACATTTACAAACAGCCTGACTAATATGAGTTTTATGTGGGCCAGCGTTCATTTCCTTTTTTTTTTTTTTCCTCGCAGTCTCATCTTTTCGTGCTGCAGCTGGTTCACAGGCCGTCTGTGCGCTCCGTGCTTCAGGGTCTGATGAAGAAGAGGCTCCTGCCAGCGGAGCACTGTGTCACTAAGAGTGAGTGAACACTTTTGCATACACTTTTTAAAAAAGAAATTAATACTTTTATTTACCAATGATGCATTAAATAGATCAAAAGTGATAGCAAAGACATAATTGCACTTATTCATCAAGGAATCCTGAGAAATGTATCATGGTTTCCAACAAATTATTAAGCACAACTGTTTTCAGCATTAATAAAAATCAGAAATGTTTCTTGAGCAGCAAATCAGCATATTAGAATGATCTCTCAAGGATCATGTGACGCTGAAGACTGGAGTAATGATGCTGAAAATTCAGCTTTGATCACAGGAATAAATTACATTTTTATATAAAGTCACATAGAACACAGTTATTTTAAATTGTGATAATAATTCACAGTTTTTACTGTATTTTTGATCAGATAAAAGCAGGAAAACTCAGAAACCATGACAATTATTTTCTCCTCCACAGTTAAGAGGAACTTCAGTAGCGGTACCATCCCAGGAACTCCCGGCCTTAACGGCGAGGATGGTGTGGAACAGACGGCCATCAAGGTGTCGCTCAAGTGTCCGATCACCTTCCGACGCATCCAGCTTCCTGCCAGGGGCCACGACTGCAGACATATACAGGTGATGAGGCCTGCTAGCATACGTTTGAATCACATAACATTTTAAAGTAAATTTCTGTGGTAAATAACATCGTTGTTGGTCCACAGTGCTTTGACCTGGAATCATACCTGCAGCTCAACTGTGAGAGAGGAACTTGGCGTTGTCCTGTGTGCAAGTAAGAATCATCTTCTCATTTTACCTTTCATCTCCATGGCATTTTTGTTGTTTTAATACTAAGAAAATTATTTGGGATGCACAGTATATCCATACCATTGTGGTAATCTGCCGATATTATTTCGGGAAAATTCTCTTAAACTTAGTAAAAACACTAATAATTTAATAACAGTGCTAAATGTAGTCTATAACAAATCTCAGAATGAATATGCATTTTTCATACTATATTTTATAATGTTATGATGCCTAAATTCACTTTTAAATTCTAATATTTACATGAATGACTTCAGTTTATAATGTTTTGTGTCATTTATCTAGACAAAATACTATATAATTTAAAATTTAATATTAATATATATTATTGTTAATAATCTAATATTTTAATATAAAATTTTGTTTTTATTAATGTTAGTTTTTTTATTAATATTATAACAAATACTAATATTAATGATTCAAATATTACTAATATTAATATTACTACTAAAAAAATAAATAATTCATATTAAAATTAGAATAACACACATTTATTTATATTATATTTTTTATTCATTTTTATTTGGCCAAAAAATTGAAATAATTATTGGCTTATCTTATTTGCCTGAATAATATATTGTATAAAAGTGCATTCCTAATAAAAATGTGTTTTGTATGGTATATATCTGACGTATTTGTATAATTTTACAAACTTCTCTGTTCCTTGCAGTAAAACAGCCCTTCTGGAGGGGCTAGAAGTGGACCAGTACATGTTGGGCATTCTGATCTACATCCAGAAGTAAGTTTTTATATAATCTCAGCATCTAAACTGTGATTGCAGAGATCCTAAATGATACTATTTTTAGCTGTAAACTGCATGTCCATGGAATGTTCCCTGACCATGTGACGCATATTGCACACAAAAATGGTAAGAGCTGGGTGAAATAGACATATTCAGTATGATTGGCTGGCATCTACCCAATTTCCCAGAGTAAGAGTGCACATTTTTTTTGTTTATAAGTTCCCAGGCTGTTAATAAGCATTTCCAAGCAAGAACTGATTGCTTACCAAATTTTGTGAAGTTCATGGCATTAGTATCACCAGTATTGTCCAGTTTGGGTTCATAAAAAGTGGTCAGTTGCTGTATGTGAGGGTCAAACATACTCTTTCTGTCTAGGTTTAAGGTTCTTGGCCACTATAAGATGCAGAGTGTTCTGTATTTTAGTTCTTAAACTCTTTTTCCTTGTGTTTAGTTCTGACTATGAGGAGATCACCATTGATCCGGTGTGCAGCTGGAAGCCAGTCCCGGTGAAACCAGACCTACATATTAAAGAGGACCCAGACGGCCCTGCCCTGAAACGCTGTCGCACCTTGAGCCCTAGTCATATGATCTTACCCAACGTCATGGAGATGATTGCAGCTTTAGGGCCGGCCTCCTCACCCTACCAGTCTATGCCACAAGGTGGCAGCAGCAGCACGCCTGATTATCCCAGCCAAGGTATGCGTCACATCCAACTGTAAAGGCCTCATAGTGACCACAAAAGTATCTATATGAATAAATTTTGTAGTCATAATTTTTTGGACGAAATGCGTTTTGACCTCCATTTGATTTATTGTTGCGTGTCTTTCAGGTGGCTCAGGATACTCTAACCAACCAGGCTTCTCAGATTTCCCCAATGCCCCTGGCACACCGACCCTGGGGGAGTTTTCTTCCGGGCCGCCCCCTCTCTCCTACCAGTCTGACCTGCCGAGTGGCCTCCTTACCCCTGAAAAACCTGTGGGACACCCGATGTCAGGACAGGTGGGTTTTCCTATCATTCATAAATTTCACCACAAGGAATTGATAGAGTATCTATCATGACGAAATTTATACATCCTATAGGCTACTGTCTTGTCCTTCAAAATGTGTGTACCTGTCATTGGATCGCAATCAGATTAGTGGCGTTTGCATATCTAGTCTCAGTATGGCTGCCGCAGTGGATGGATAGACCAAAATGCGAACTAGCGATCTGAAACAATGGCCTCAGCACCCGAAGGGGTAGGGATAAGGTGACCAGACGTCCAGTTTTTCCCGGGAGTCACAATTCGTCGTTGATTAACTTAAAGTTAGTGAAGGCGGGATAAGCGGAATCGTGCTGATAGAAGTGCTCTCTCTCACGCACGCTCCACTTCTTCAGTTCTCATATACAGCGCGCGATCAGTTCTCGGTGCTCAAATACACACACAGCAGTCCATCTATCTACAGTCTTATCGTGTAGAGCATCTCACGTAAATACAGTCGGTTATGGATTAAGTGAATGTACACAGGTGGGTGAAAACTGAACGTGTGTCAGTATTACATGCATGCCTTCGGTCTTAAAGGGACAGCATTCCTAATTAAGTACCTATCCGTGTCATTAATGTGAAT